AGGTGCTGTCATACTAAATTAACATTTTAGGATTATGTTTATTTCGAATATTTTTGGTGGTTATAATAATATGAAGTGACAATTTAAACAATAATAAGTTTTAGAAAACTAAGTGACTCTCTTAGATTGTTGCTAATTTCCTTAATTTTTGGCTATAGGTATTGTTTAAATTTGTCAGTATGTAAAATTAAACCTTAAATAATTTTGTTATTTTACATAATTTTATTATATTTTTGGTTGTTTTCGTATTCGCACTCTACGATTAGGTAGAATCGAATTTATAAAAATGGTTTATTTCCATGTTGATTTCCTTTAAATAAGATCAATCTGGAACAACACCATATAGGAGAATATTTTGTCAACATGTGTACAAATTCAAGCTGCTAGAAAACACCATGAATCGTGGTCATTTTTATCCTGATAACAACTTATAACTAGAAATGTTGACATAATAAAAAAATATTCATTGTAAACATTTCTAATAATTATAGTTTGTTCTACCAGGAAGGTAAAAACCGGTAAATAAACTAATTAAGATATTTACTTCGTTTAAAAGAAGTTATAGCCTTTCATACATTCTAGCAAACTTGTTTAGTTGTCAGTTAAAATGTTATGTTGTCCAATTGCATACCTATCTTATCCCAATAGATGTGACGTCACAAAAGAAAGTGGGTAATTCCCAGGATTCCATTGCAAAAATTAATTCACAAAATTTAAATAATAAAGGTAGGTGGACTTATCATTATAAATGCTAAGTAGTACTGTTGGTTTTAATCTATATGTGAGTCTTTTTATTATTTTTTAAAATAATATTAATTATGTGTCCTGCCCTAAAATGTTGTCACTTTATAAAATATAAACTAAGGTTTTAAAAATATTATATCTCAACTTTCGCATCTCAACGCGAAACTTAACTTCTTTAATTGTCTTGAGGTTGGTACGACTAAATTTTTAATTATGCGTTAACTTCACTATGCTCCGCTCAAGAATGTATAAAAACGCGTAAATACAGGGTGTCCCGAAATAACGTTAATATATTTCTAGAGATGATTCTACTCGTACAAGTAAAAATAAAAGAAAAATTTGCTATCTAATGCGTTACTTAAGGTACTATATAATATATATATAATATAATATAGGTATAATATATACAAGGTGTCCCTAAACTTAGTGGCATACATTTAGGAGCAGATTAAGCAAGTCAAAATAAGACGACAATTTAAATAAATATTTTTCCTAATTACGTAAGTTTAAAAGATATAGGGTGATTAAGTGTTACTTATCATATCAGTTTTTTTTAATATAATTCTACTATGGTAGACTTGGAAAGGTAATATTTTGCAAACAGTCACTTACTAGCAAAACACATATTCACACATAATTACAATTGTTCGAGTGAACACAGTTTCGTAGAAACAGAGGTTGCTTAAGCTCATTGTCCCATACAAACTTTAAGGTTAGGTTTTTATACCATTTGATGCAATTTTTCGATTACTTAGTTCGGCTACTATTAAAAAGGTGTACCTCTCTAATTTCGATAAAATAAACCGTTTCCGAGATATTCGAGATTAAAATAATTGTTATATCGTATTAAAGGACTAAAAGGTAGGTATACCTATATATATGATAACAAATTTTTTAATTGAAAAAACTACATTTTTTTTAATTTGACGGTCAGGGCAAAAAGTCCCGAGGCTCATGGAATCCCCTTTTTAATTTTTTCAATTAAAAAATAAAATTTGTTATCATATACCTTCTAATCCTTTTAAATAATGCGATATAACAACTATTGTAATCTCGAATATCTCGGAAAAGGTTTATTTTATCGAAGTTTGAGAGGTACACCTTTTTAATGGTAGCCGAACTGTTTAATCGAAAAATTGCATCAAATGTTACAAAAACCTAACCTCAAAGTTTGTATGGGACAATAAGCTTAAAGCAACCCCCGTTTCTACACTGTGTTCACTCAAACAATTGTAATTATGTGTGAATATGTGTTTTGGTAGTAAGTGACTGTTCGCAAAATATCACCTTTCTAAGACTACCATGGTAGAAGTTTATCATGGAAACATAAGTAATTGGGTTTTCGTCTTATTTTTACTTGCTCAATCTTTTCCTAAATTTATGCCAATAAGTTTAGGGACACCTTGTATATATATATATATATATATATATATATATATATATATATATATATATAATATCTAATTGCTAATGGATTTGCTAGCATGTTTAAGGTTTCATTTATTGTGTCCAATGATAGAATATAGATTCGTGTGTAGCTGATGTTAACAGTTTAATGTGAGGTCTTTTTCTGAATCAGATATCACTTTTGCTCTAAAAAAATTAAAACCGAAATTCACCAGCATTTATAATTGGGGATTGTGCGTCTTCTCTTATTATACCTACCTTTAAAATTAATTTTTAACTTAATTCTTAAGACTTGTGTAGGTATATCCTGAGTTAAGGAAAAAGTCTAAACTTTGTCCTGTATACAAAAAGGGTGATAAAAATTGCTGTGAAAATTATAGACCGATTGCAGTAACTAGTAATTTCTCCAAGATCTTTGAGATTCTTTTGCACAAGGTTTTATATCGACATGTGAAAAGTCTGGTCACCTTAAGTCATCGTGGTTTTGTGAAAAACATATCGTTACAAATTTAATGTGCAAACAATCTTGATAAAAATGAACAGGTAGATGTTATACACAGACTTCTCTAAAGCTTTTGATAGGCTTGACCATGGCATAATTCTACAAAAGCTCTCATCATCTTTAATTAAACTCTTCTCGTCATATCTACTAAACCGCAAGCTATATGTCGAATTTCAATAGGTTTAATTTTAAAAATTTGGAGGAACACAGGATAAAGGCATCCTTAGTATTTTTGTTTAAACTTTTAAATAATTGTATCGACTGCCCTATTATGTCGAAAAATAATTTCACCTTTTATTTGCAATGCGCAAAACAAATATTTTAAAATTTTTACCTGTAAACTTTATGTGTGAAATGTAGAATGAGTTGCAAGATAGATATTTTTTATGCAATGTGCAAACAATAAGAAATATAAATATAAATACCTATTTTTTTTTATTATTAAATCTTTACTTGCAATATTATTTTTTGTTGTTTTGTATTTAGAATATTTAAATAGTTTTTAATATATCATCTTGTATTTGGTTCAAGGACTGTAGGATGATGTAAATAAACAAATAAATAAATAAATAGCGTTTTTCTCAAAAACTGTGGTCTCCATGACTAGTTAGTTAGTTTTTTACTTACAATTATCTGGAGAATTGTATTCTAAGATCGAGAATTCAACAAAATCTTACAAAAAAAGTTTTTCCCATGTTTCGGACGCCTATGGTCATAATTTATCCAATTTGACCCCACTCGATATGTTATATAGTAGGTATCTCTGATAAGTAAAAATTAAGCACAGTATATTCATGTGCTTCCAAAATATGGCGCTAAATAAATCATAACGTAATTAATATATTTATAAGATGTAAATGTTAACCTTCCATTATATTTTTACACCACGATGTATAGTCAATTGTTTTTCCTATACCGGAAAATTATGAAAAATTAAAATATTAATTAAGTTTTTTTAAAAGTGTCAATCTAGCAAACATGATGCTTGATATATACTTAGCAACAAGTTACTTTTCGAGGGCGATACTTCCTATAAAATCAGATTTTTCTCGAAATTTAGTCTCATACTTTTTTGGTTCCTTCAACAATACACAACCAAGGGTAAGTCAATTTAGTATTTCTATTTGAAGCTTTAAATGATTTATAAATTAACATTATATGAAAATTACAATAATTGTTTAAAAGAAAAATAATTTTGCAGTAATAGTACAATTTTAATTCCTATATTGGTGTATATATTGAGATGTCCCCCTAGCGAAAATGATTATTTTTTATTTTTGGTTGTTTCACTGTTAATCTAGAATGGGGTTTTTGGGAAGCCACCAGGTCTAGTAATAACATAACATAAGTGGTTCTGCACTAATGCAAGAATTTGAACATTAGAGCTTCACGGAAGATAGCTTCACGGAGGTTAGGATTTCGTATGTTTTTTTAAACATTCCTTTGTATATTTGAAATAAGTTATTGTATCTTTTGACACCTTAATATTTCTTAAAATTACAATTGTACTTACTAAGATATTACACTTCACGGTGTATAGGTTTTTAAATAGCAAATTAATGAACTTAAACTTTTGAATTATAAAACAGCAACACTATCATCTGCATATAAATTCTAACTGACCTTCAGGAATCACATACATCTATAATGTCGTATACAGGGGTTTTTGCTTATTTAAAATGATTAAAGCGCCATCCGTTGCATAAAATTTAAAGCAAAAACAGATTCACGGAGGATAGAATCAATTTTTGTAACACCTACATAAATGGTTATAAAAATTATTTCTTTTAATTTTTAATATTTTATATTTACTTTGGATTTGTTTAATTTACTTAGTGAACTGATATTTTTAGTATGCTTTTACTACCTCAGATATTTGAAAACATATAGGTTAACCTAAAAAGAGTAAGAGTCACGGAGGATAGGTTTTAAACTTTTAAAACATTGTAAAAAATAATTAATTGCGGTTAAAAATCTGGAACCTGAGCTGTAATATCTACTTAATCATAAAAGATTAAAACACAATAAAAGTGTAGGTCAAACTCATTTAGTTTTATTAAATATCACGGGGTAACACCATAGTGAGATTCACCTATTTATATAATGTTAAATTTTACAAAAAAAAGTTTTGAAGAATTAAATATTTTTACAAAAATTTATATATTTATATCGATATCATAAATAATAAAATAAAATGTTTTTCACCTACATTTTCATGGCTTTTTTGGATCTTCGCCAAACTAATTTTATTTCTATGATCGCCACAAAATATTTTTGTTTACGTTTATTTAGAAACGTGCAATAGAAATTACATGTTTATTTTGGAAATTGGATTATTCTACTGTACCTGGTGTTTTCGCAATAAGCTGTCGTATCCATCGTACAGGATATTTGTAGTTTGCGGAAATCATCACCGGAAGTACTAAACAGGAATAAGTTGCTACGCACCATCCTCCTAAGCTCACTAAAAGTGGAGAGTGTCCTCTTGAACAGTACGGTAGCAAGAATAACACTGATAGGAGGCATACTAAAAATAAAGTCAAAATTAAAATGCGGATATATTTAAATATGTTGTTAAAAGTTTCACTTACTTTTTGCATTTTTAATTGACATTTTTAATAAATCAAGAAATAAAGGTTAATTTATTTATACCTAAATAAATTTATCTATACATAATATGTTTTTGATAATTGAATGCTATGCTGGAACAACTTTGAAATATTATTTCATGTGTTTGTATACATATAATATAAAATCAAATTACTTCTTTTCGATTGTCCACAATAGTTATTTCAGGGGTCTGATATCAAAATCAGTTCAATAATTTTTACTAGCAAATTCCGTCACATTCATCAACATAGTTTAGTCCAGTTGAAATGATAGAGTAAAAATAATATACTTTATTTTCATAATGTATTTTATCTACTCCTTTTAATAATAATACTAATAATAATAATTTTTATTCATGTTAACATGCACAGATACATTTAATCAGGTCAGAACAAAAACAATTAAAAACTAAAAACCTTAATATATTAAAATATTACACAAAAGAAATAAAATATAAGGTAGATAAAATATATACTTAAAATTGTTGATTAAAACTAGACTTAAAAAATAAAACTTTACAGAAAAAATATTAATAATACAACCTTATTTTTTTTTAAATCACATGAAAGACAAATCGCAAGTTAAAAATTCGTTTATGTCATAAAACGTTTTTATTATTAAAAATTTCTTAGACGTATCTTAAAACGTTTTAACTGTTTTATTTTATTGGGAAGTCTATTATAAAATAAAACAGTTAAATTTGAAACAATTTTTTGCATAATATTGTTTTTTTCCGTGAATATTGATAAACATTATAAATTCCCTGCTTGACGGGAATAATGAACTCATTATTCACGTTGTTAGACATCAATGATTGGCCCATTTCAATATTCACTGTGATTTGAACCAATCGGGTTTTAAATTGGGAGAAGGCGACTATAATAATATTTAAATTTGACAGATGTCAGATTTTTTTTATCTATTTTTGAAATTTATTTAATTATCTACTTAATGGAGTAGATAAAGTATAGTATTACAGTCGAGATTATGCGCATTATTCACTAGGATGATTTGAATCTCGTGAATAATCGGCTGCATTATCTCTTGTATAATTATATATTATTCTACGACAAACACAAAACAGAATTTAAAGCAAATTTTATTTGTTAAAAATTTGACATTTGTCAACATTCGAATTTAACCTCACTTTTTCCCAATTTCTAATAAAGCTAACTTCAGCCCGTAACTAAAATTCCATAAAGTCACAGCTCGGCAATGTAAGAGTAGATAATAGTATATTATGTATCAAGTTTTATAAACGCCATTTTACTTACGAGTTTTATTAGGCACGAGCGAAGCTTGCGAGCGAGTGTTTAATAAAAACGAGAAGTTTATAAAACGAGTTGCATACTATACTTTATCTACGACGAACAGAAATAAGAATTTAAAGCCAATTTTAATTCATAAATATTTGACGTTTGAAGAATTTAACCTCACTTTTTCGCAATTTTAATAAAGCTAACTTCAGCCCGCGACTAAAATGCCCAAAAGCCACTGTTGTTAACTTCAGCCCGTGACTAAAACACCATAAAGTCACAGCTTGTAGGAGTAGATAATAGTATATTATGTATCAAGTTTGATAAACGCCATTTTATACACGAATTTAATTTAGGTACGAGCGAGCTTGCGAGCGAGTGCTTAAATTAATGAGTGTATAGAAAAGTTTATAAACGAGGTGCTTTATTTTAACGATTGTATGACATTTGACAACTGTCAATTAACTTCAGCCCGTGACTAAAAACCTGTTGCTAACTTCAGCCCGTGACTAAAGCACCATAAAGCCACAACTTGTTAAAGTGTGTTTAAAAGGTCACTTAGTGTCATGGAAACATGTACATGTAAAACGCCCTTTTTTAAAGGTTGGAGTAGAAAAAATATATTATTATAATGTTTGTCAGAAAGTCACCTTGATTTTTCTATATATTTAAAAAAAATCTTTTTTGCTTTTATTTTTTACCATTAAAATTACATTTCTTCTTGTAAATGCCTTAGGTTACAACTTAAAAAAACTAAATTTTTCTATTCACTCTGCTAAACATTTTTATTTTTTACTTACAAAGTACAAAAACTCTTTATTTACCTGTTTCTGCAATTTTCTCGTCCCTTATTTCGGGGTCCAATTTGGGAATGGTGTGTAAACTTCGTAACCTACCGCGAATTCTAGTTATCATTCCCATTTAAAAAGTTTTTTATGCACCCGCAAAAATAATTAATTTCTCAGTAGGTACTATCGCTAAACAAATTCCCAGTAGAAATGCAACAAATTGCAAGTAAACAAAATATTCTCGGGGGATCTCACTTCTAGAACACTCAAAATATTGCACTGAACTTGAATAGTATTTTCAGAAGCACATTTAATAAAAACCAAAATAGAATTCAAGAGCTACGAACTTTGCGTTCTTTGTTTAGCGTGAAAAACGTATGAATTTCTTTTTTGGTTTATTCATGTTTTTGTCTGTAAATCCAACCCCCACCACCTATAAAAGTATATTCTTCAGTGAAAACAGTGGCGGCGGCAAAATCAGTTTCTAAATATAAATTTATTTCTTAAAGTTTTAAAACGGATATGATTAAAATATCATCAAGTTTTTTTTGTTTTTCGAAAACTAAAAAAAATTATATAGGTACTTGTATTAAGAATAGCCAAAACAAACCTATACATATAAAATTAAAAAAGAGCTATTTTTAAAAAGTAATTTACTTACTTTACTTTAAAAAAATTCAATTTTAAAAATCCTAAATTTCAAAAGTTACTTGCCGGAAAACAATGTTTTGATCTTTGTTTTATAGATGTCGCTCTATATAAATATTTAATTTCAATCATTTTTAGATAATATTAAGTATTTGTCGTTGAAAAAGTATCGGATGCAACTCGTTTATAAACTATTCTAGACACTCATTTAATTAAACACTCACTCACAAGCTCGCTCGTGCCTAATTAAAGTTCGTGACTAAAATGGCGTTTATCAAACTTAACTATTTTTTGTTTTTAGTTTTTATCGATACTTTGTAATAAATTATTCTCTCAAATGGAGATACCACATTAAATATTATAAAATTGGAAATGTTGCCAGTTTTTCAATGTGAATGTGCATAACCTAAAACAAATGTTTAAAAAAATAAATATACGGACCCAAGAAGACAAATGGACAAAAATTTTCATTTTTCGACCAAAACTCAAAAGTTATGCTTGTTTTGAAAAGTCTATTGCCATACTTTTAATTTGAAAATATTATACAGGGGGTCTAAAAACAAGAAAACATGAAATTCTATCAAAAGTAAACTACCTTATTTTTACTTTTGTACATGGACATACAGTTTCTTTATGGTTTTGGAGCAAAGTGAGAAATAAAAAAAGATTTAATAAAAAGATATAATATCGAATACTGAGTCTTTTAATATGATTCCTATTAAAAGGCTTAGTATTTGATATTATATCTTTTTATTAAAAAATTATATCGTAGCAAATACAGTATTATGAAAAATACAACATTTGAAATTTGCTAAAAATTTTTGTTCAAAAATAATAAATACGATACTGAAACATTACAACCTTTTTCTTATAGATTTTTTTCAAACAAAATTTAATAATTAATAAGACTAAAGCAAATAGAAAATATCTCTTGCCAATATTACCATCTAGATTTTTTATGTTACCGACAGAGATGAACATATATTGAAAATGAGTAATTGTTTTCTCTGGGTAATTGATTTTTAAACAAAAAGTATATTATTTGTAAGTAGAATATTTCGTTACACGATTTAAAGGAATTTAAATGGAAGCAATTGAAAATCCAGAGATATTTCATTAATTCACGAATTATTTAAAAAATTTCGAATTATTCGAAATTTTGTGGATTATTCGAAATTCAAATTATTCGATTCGAATTTCGAATCGAATATCAATGTTCGATTCGATTCGATTCAAACGATATTCGCACACCCCTAATATTAAATTGTCAAACGTTGATGCGAAACTTTGTTGGATTTCTACTGCAATTTTTATTATTGACCTAAAAATATGACAGATGACAGGCAAACACATACAGGGGAAGCCAAACAAATATCAAGCAGTACTTTAACTGGTGTCAAGATGACAAAATATAGTAATAATACAACGTTGTCAAATTTATAGATCATATGACAGATGACAGGTGACAGATGACACTGTTATCCACGAAGACTAGAGACAGGAGTACAAACTGTTATTTTTATGAGACGAAATACGTCGGCACAGAACAAATACAAACTGCAATCTGATCAATCACAATGATATGAGGTATGACTTTTTTGTGTATTTAAAAAACTCCATCATTGCCTCAAGCCCTCCATATCGGTTTGTACTCCTGTCTCTAGAATTCGTGCAGCCACTGTAACACTGAAGAACATTTAAAGAATTGTCAAAATAAAATCTTAAAATTTCTTGAATCATTTAAAACATTAACATTTACTATTTACATTTCCTAATTCTTCGACGAGTCGCCCCTGACTATTTACGTTTCCAGCACCAATTTGAGATTGTACGTCATGACGAGCCTTTTTGGCAGAGATTCGAGCTGCGAATCTACGAATGAAATCAATGTAAACGCCTGCCGTTCACTAACATGCTGAATTTGTTATTTTAAGAGCCATGTATTAATCGTAAACATGTTTTCAATTATTGAACCCGCACATGCCTCTGTGGTTCGTTAACATTTTTCTTTATCAATCCTCATGCTTATCGCCATCGAGTTAATTATTTTTTAAGATGGATTGATTTATATTGTTTTGCTAAGGCATTAGAAAGCTTAATTTTAGATACGATTAATATAAATGGATTTTTAAGTATTTAAGGAATGAAAACATGGGTTCAAATCCAAAAAGTGAGTCATTTTTCGGGAAATAAACATATTTTTTGAATTTGTTCGTAATTGTTTTTATACATAATAATTTTCACGTGGGCTATAAGAACATAGCCTGACTATTTGTAGAATTTCTTGTCATTCGTGAAATGAATTAATATGAAAGTTATTTTATATACGATTTTTCATTTTCTGTAACATCAGACGTTTTTATAGATCTTCTAATGTTTTAAAAAATCCAGGTTTATTTTTTATGGATTCATTCAACCAGCGACATTAATTCCTCAACGTTATGAATTGTAACTGCATACACCAATGATTTTAAATATCCCCACACACAGAAGTCGAGTGGATTTAAATCTGGAAAACGAGGCTACGGAATTTGCCCTCCTCGTCCTATCATTTTTTAAATTTTTTGTTAGGTTGGTGGCTTATGCCAGTTTGACTTAGTGTTTTTAGTATTTAAAAATGGTACTTCTGCTAAAGAATTTAATTAAATACTTTGACACTGTCAAATTGACAATATTTATTATTGATAATTTTTTTCTTACATGAAAACGTCGTAGTTGAATTACATTTTTCTACTCCTATTATGGAATTTGACCGTTCTAATATCACTTTTGTCTATGGAATGACATTTATTCCGTAAAGTGTTACAGAATGAAATATTCTATCATCTGATGACAGAATAAACACTCGTGGCGACATCTCTGTTTTTAATATCTAACAAATTTTAGACCGATCCAACCTCACTTTCTTCCAATTAATTTATTTGTCTATGGTATTTTTTGAAAACGTAGAAAAAGTATAGTCTGAAACACGTTTGGAATTGCATAATCCCCTCTCGTGAAACCGTCAAACTCGCCTTCGGCTCGTGTGACAAACTTTTCACTCGAGCGGAATATGCCGTATTCCAAACTTGTTACAGAATATACTATTTTCTACTCCTATTACGGAATTTGACCGTTCTAATATCATATTAAATTATTTTTCTATGGTATTTTTTGGAAACGTAGAAAAAGTATAGTCTGAGTTTGGAATTGCATATTCCGCTTTCGTGAAACTCTTCACTCGAGCGGAATATGCTGTATTCCAAACTTGTTAAAGAATATACTATTTGATAGATGAAAGTTTCCGTTGCAGCCAATAGGCGAGTGAAAAAATTCATCGAGGGAGTAACTGCAAGTCCACGCGGGGTAAACACTATATTTTTGACGAGTAAAGCCAATTTAAATTTTAAATGATATTTTAACAAAATTAAAAAAACTTGTCAGTTATTTCATTCTGACATTTAATTATTTAAATCTGACGTTTACATTTAAAGTTAATCACACTGTAGCGTCGTCAATGGTAGCGGGAAAAATTAATAATGGAAACGCCATGAAGTTACCATAGAACCGCATTATAATTTTTTGAACTTGGAAAAAATTTCTAAGTAAACATAAAAAAAATGGTAAAAGTATAAACTGAATTTGTCTTTTCTAAATAAGCAAAAACTTTTATGGACTTATCTCAAAAAATGAAAATTAAAAAAGTTTTTTTAGGATTTTTTTTCCGAGTAGCCCCTGTTACGCACGCCTATGGTAATCAATTATCTGATTTGACATTACCAGATGATTTCTTTCCCAAAAAATACCCCAGAAATAAAGCATTATTATTTTAATTTTATAGTAGCTTTATTATTATAAATCAGAGTAAAAATATACTCAAATATGCATGATCATTCATTATCATAAGTCCAATTTTTATTTGTATAAGTTATAAATAAATCTCTTCTTATTTTTAATTATTAATTATAACCCACAATTGCATCATCTAATATTGTATTAATACCCAAACACACATATAACTATTATATTATGATTAAAATTTGAATAGACAAGTAAATATTTACTTTTTGGATTTTCAAAAATAACATCATGTGACAAATATTTAGCCACATCGCATTGCCAGCTTACTATTATAGTTTTTTTTGCCACCCAAATAAAATTTATTTTTATCGCATTGAAGGCGTAATTTTAGATTTAAGATACATTTCATAGGTGGGACTCTTTTTGGGTGGGAATTATTGACCTTATAGTGACGCGCGTCAGCAAGTAATCTATTTCTTTGAATGAAACGTGTTAAAAACCACGAATCCACCAAAATGTTTATGTTATTTTAAATGTGTCATTTTTCCCTTAACCTTAATTAATTAGTCACCTGATTTAGTTTTGAAATTGAATTGAAATTGTATAATTAAAACTTTTATATATATTTTTAAATTTTATTAGATGACGAGATGACGAGAACTATGAATTTAATCTGTTAAATTAGGCTCAGTAGTTTTTTGTTTG